AGTCAAGTTGTGCCACAGTAACAAATAGCCCCATTGTCTCTAGCTTAAAAAAGCAAAGGTTTTTTCCTTCTTATGCTAGAGTTCATCATGAGTTGACAGAGTTCCCTGGTCCTAGTGGTTACAGAGGTGACCAGGTGATGGAATAGCTGCTGTCTTGAGATTTGCTAGTTACCACACCAAAGGAACAGAAGGACTCAAGAGCTTCTGGCATCACCCACTAAATGTTCTAGCCCCCCAAATGCACATCTTTTTCTACTAAAAACTTCTTTGCTGAAAATATTTAGCAAGCAAGAATGCCTACTACCCATACAAACTCAGCAATTAATAAAGTTATGCCGAAACCGGTTTGGCTCAGAGAATAGAGTGTCAGTCTGCAGACTGAAAGGTCCGGGTTTGATTTTGGTCAAGGACATGTACCATGGTTGCGAGTACATCCCCAGTAGGGGGTGTGCAAGAGGCAGCTGATCGATGATTCTCTCTCATCGATGTTTCTAACTCTCTATCCATCTCTCTTCCTCTCTGTAAAAAAATCAATAAAATGTATTTTAAAAAATTAAAAAAAATAAAGTTATAAGTATTAATTCCTTAATGTGTGAGGAGCCTTGGCTAAAGTTCCAGAAAGTTCTGGAAAACCCAGGAATAGTATCTCTTATTAACAAATTTTACCTCCCCAGACCTTGCCACTGACAACTAGCAATGATTGGTAAAGCAATTATGACTTCACATTAATATTAATTTTCTTTCCAAACACAGTTTCTCACATTGATGCAGAGAAATTAATGCATTTTTATTATGGAATAGATCTACTTCATTATGATTTTATATTATCATGAATCACCACAATGGCAGAAATAGTTTGAAGAAATTAATAAAAAGAGGGCTCAGATTTAACTTTCTAAAATGAAAATGGATACCACCATCTTGAATACAGAGGCTATTTAATAACACTGCATTTATGGTGATGTGATGAGCACTGAGTTTTGACACGCTTCTAAATCCATATCTTTGTACATCCATAATAAGAGCAAGGAACCCTGAATAGAATTACCCTTCTAGCTCTCACATGGAACAGAACCTCCTGTACTTTAATATTGCACTTCTCACTAAAAAAAGAGAAAAGAAAATTATTCAGATCATATATGCTATTGTGTCAAAGGGTTAAGGCTTTATATAATCTGTTCTTACTAAATCCACAACTAGGGGATGGCATTACTTGTACCTACAGTAGTTGGTAGAGGCCAGGGAAGCGGCTAAACATCCCACAATGGACAGGACAGTCCCCTCCTCCCAACAAGACCTATCTGACCCTAAGTGCTAATAGTGCTGTTTTAAGAAAATAACTTAAGCTTTCCTAGCCTTGATTTCACCTTCCATACAATGACGGTAATGGTGGTCTAGGGTAGTGTTGTGAGCAAGGTAAGACAGCACTTAAATGCAGAGCGGCATACAAATGGCCAAGAGAGAGATATGAAAAGATACTCAATGTCACTAATCATCAGAGAGATGCAAATTAAAATGACAATGAGGGTGCAAATACCCTATATAATAAAGAGGTAATATGCAAATTAATCTTCACGCCCTCACATCACAAGAAGGCCACCTCCACGTCATCACAAGATGGCTGCCACAAAATGGCCACCCCATGTCATCACAAGATGGCCATCCCCACATTGTCACAAGATGGCTGGCAAGGAAGGGCAGTTGGGGGCAATCAGGCCAGCAGGGGAGCAGTTAGGTGTTAATCAGGCTGGCAGGGAAGTGGTTATGGGGCAATCAGAGTGGCAGGCAGGTGAGTGGTTAGGAGCTAGCAGTCCCAGATTGTGAGAGGGATGTCCTCTCCAATCTGGGACCTCTCAGGGGATGTCTTGGCCTAAACTGGCAGTCAGATATCCAGATTGGAGAGGGTGCAGACTGGTCTGAGGAACACCCCCTACCCCCAGTGCACAAATTCCATGCACCAGGCCTCTTGTATTAGTTTAAAAAGAAAAAAACACACTTCCTCTCCAAGAGATAACAACCTGCAAGTAGGCATTTGTGTCCCCAGCTTGTGAGAGAATCCAGACTCTTAGAGGTTTAAGAACATGCCTAAGGGTTCAGTCTAATAAGAGACAGAGCCTGGATTCAAATGTTATTAGCTGCTAGGAACTGAATGTTTGTGTTCCCCCAAACTTACATGCTCACATCCTAACCCCCAGAGGATGACATTAGGATGTAGGACCTTTGTGAGGGAATTAGATCATGAATGAAATTAATGCCCTCATAAAAAGGGAGGTGAGAAACCTTGCTTTCCCTCTGTCCACCATGTGATGGTACAATGAGAAGATGGCTGTCTATCTGCAAACTAGGAAGCAGGTCTTTACCAGACACCTGATCTACTGGCACCTTGATCTTGGACTTCCCAGCCTTCAGACTGTGAGCAATTAATTTCTGATGTTTAAGCCACCCAGACTATGGTATTCTGTTATAGCAGCCTAACTAAGATACAAATGCTGCCTGATTTCAGAGCTGACATTCTTTCAACTTCATTGACTACCAAATACTGCTTTGAGAAAAAACAGATCCCAAGACATAAGAGAAGTGCACATTTTCTTCTGTATTAACTCTCTTGATTGTATTAGCAGCAGCATCCATATCCTTGCATGCTGTAGTATACTTCTATGATGATATTCATTATGTTTCTTTCCCCTTTTAGTCTTTATTAATTCAACAAATATTTATTTGCCCCTTGTTAGGAGACCATGGGGCTATGAGATACTGTCTCGATCTGCAAGGAGCTCATGTGCTGGTGCAGATGAGCCAATCACTGCTAGATGTTATCATTTGGGGGCCCCTGGCAGCATTCCAACTTGCTTGCATGTGTATGATGCCATCTCCATCTTGGGATTATGGGCTTCCTTACAATTCTTTACACTACTCATTGCCACACACAGTTAGTTTACCCACACAGTGCAATTTTCCTTTGGTGGGAATAAATCCCTGGCTGTCACACTCAGATATTTGAGGTTTGTGTTATGCTTTTAGGTTGGCACAGTTTTACAGCACAGTAGATTTTTAGTTACAGAAGACATTACCTTTATGATGTTACTTGTTTAGGACCTTGAATGTTTTAGCCACATTGCACAGGTAGTTTTGACAAAGTATGACTTTCATCATGTGACCTGAAATACTGATGAACTAGAGAGTTTCATTTATAGTGAGGGAATCTAGCAATCCCTCAACAGTCCTGTCAAAACTTGACTTTGTGAGCTTCATAAAGCAAGACAGTCCATTTTTTAAGGTATGTTCATGGTAGATATTACTCTAGGAGAGTCACAGTATATATAATGTCTTTATGACTATCCTAGTTTCATAATGTAGAGTTTGATGGAATTAAAGGTCAATGGCCATGAAGGAACACATAATATTTTCAAATGTACTTGACTGAGTTGTGGGAATGCACATGGCGGCATTTGGACACTCGCCAATATCTCAGGTTATTTACTTTGTGAATGACAGGGCTCTACCCCACTGAATGGCCACTTCCTGTTCCTCATTAATGACAACACTTGACTTTCAGCTGCAGCCCTTCTGGACCTTGACCATTAATGTCAAGTTCTTTTAATCTGTCTAAGACCACATATCAGTTGAGTAACTTTGGCAAGGTGACCTCCCTCAGTTTCGGTTTCTCATCTGTAAAATGAGGATAATTAACTGGATTGTTGGGACATTTAATGTTTATAGTTATACACGTAAAATGTTTAGTATGATATCTAAAACAATGTAAGTAGTCAGTGAAGGTTAGCCATCATTCCCTTTCCTTGCTCACCCACTCATTGAGCCATTGTCACCACCACCCCTGTCCCATGCCTTCTCTTTTCCTCTGTGGCCTCACATAAAACTCTGCTTGTTTGTTATTTTGCCTGGTATGTTCCTGGTTCTAAGTCTGGGGATACTTTTTGTTCTTGGCCCCTCTCTGGCATGAGATGTAGGGCTTATCCCTCGACTAGTCATCCTTCTCTGCCCAAGTTGTCTTCTTATTCTTTTTTTTTTTCCTTCTTGTTTCTAAGTCAACCAACACAGAGATTATATTAGGAGCATAGACTAAGGTACCTGACTATCTGGGTTCAAGGTTTGGTTCCACTTATTAAGTAGGGCAAGTTATTTAACCTCTCTGTGCCCCAGTCTTGCCATCTGTAAAATGGAGATAATAATCTTGATTATCTTATGAAATTGCTACAGAGATTAAATGAGTTCATATATCAAAAGTGCTTAAAATGGAGTTGGGTCTGCAATAAGTCCTATGTTATTGTGTATATTATTGTTATTTTTATTATAGGTTGGGTCTCTTATTCTCTTATTAGCTGTCCCTCCCACCTCCATTTTAAAAATAATGAATGTCTTTTATGATTAATACCATCCTCATACCACTATCCATGGGACAGAGAGCCACCCTTCTCCTTGGCCAACACATTACCCACCATCTTACTATTTCCATCTTGGGTTCATAATATACATTCTCACAGTAAAAAAGCCATTGGCTTAGTAATTTTAAAATACCTAGTCAATCATATCAATATTTTAGTTTCTATAGCACTGATTGATACTAAAGAAAAGGGCAAGGATGACTCATAGAGCCACCATCACATACAGGGGAGGTTATTCTGTCACAATTTTTCAATTCCTATTGGCATTCTAATTTTCAAATAGTATCAGGTGACCTATTCTCAGGAGTGAGAGGAAGAAAGAATCACATTGATATGCTTAGAATAAAAAAAAATTGATTTAAATATCGTTAGCAGACAGAGGTCTTTAAGAAACCAATGAACACTTTTTATATACGAGTAAAGAAGCCAGGAGCAGACACTTACTTTTAGTTGTGTTTTAGTGTGGACCACACAACAAATAACACTGATTCTAAATATCATTGACTTGGACACCCCAATCACCAACCACAATCTGTTTAAAAGGGGAATTAGCAGCTTTGGAATATAGGACGTGAGCAATTTGCCCCAAATTCTTACCTATAACTTTTCCTAGGAAGAGTGATTTGGGAGCGTTGAACAGCGTGTCAGATGAGCTTGGCAGGTGGTAACTCACAGAAGGATAATGATCCAGCTGCAGGAAGGAGAAAGAGTCACTTTTAGAAGAATGGCACTATCTTGCACTGGACTCAAATCTACCTGGTGGGAATGACATCACTTGAACCTTGGTTTTGAGATATCTTATTTCATTAGAAGTTTGACTGTTTCTTCATAGTTCTTTGAAAGCAATGTGAACTTGGAAGTGAAGAACCTTTATGAACTGTTCTACAGTTTATGCATATATTCTGTGGATAATTTACCTCCTGGATTATGGTCCTTGCTCATTGAATTGGGCTAAAATCTGCTTGATCAAATCTCCAGTACTGATTTCTGAGGTAGAAAATGCTTCAGCATAGCAATAAATTTTGTTTAGGATCCTTTTACTGCCCCACTTTCTTCACCCTTTTTTACCATCAGCTTATAGACCAATATTGATCTTCAGAATATATATATTCAAATATGAATATGAATATATATTTTATATCCTATATAATAAATATAATAGATAATATGCAAATTGACCATCACTCCAACACACAAGTTGGCTGCCCCCATGTAGTCAAAGATGGCTGCCCCCATGTGGACACAAGATGGCTTCCACAAGATGGTTGCAGGGGAGGGCAGTTGTAGGCGATCAGGCCAGCAGGGGAGGACAGTTGGGAGGGACCAGGCCTGCAAGGAAGGGCAGTTGGGGGTGATCAGGCCTGTAGGGGAGGGCAGTTGGAAGGGACAAGGCCTGCAGGGAAGGGCATTTCAGGAGGACCAAGCCTAAAGGGGAGAACAGTTAGGGGCGACCAGGCTGGCAGGAGAGGGCAGTGAGGGGTGATTGGGCCAGCAGGGGAGCAGTTAGGCATCGGTCAGGCTGGCAGGCAGATGCGGTTAGGGGCAATCAGAGGCAGGCAGGCGAGCAGTTGGGAGCCAGCAGTCCTGGATTGTGAGAGGGCAGTCAGACATCCCTCAAGGAGTCTCTGATTGGAGAGGGTGCAGGCTGGGCTGAGGGCCCCCCTCACCTCCCCTCCCACCCCCCACAAATTTCATGCACCAGGCTTCTAGTACAAATATGTATTCAAATGTTGAGGTTCAGGTTGGGTAAACATACATAGTTGTCTTGCTTATCAAAATTAGGGTAACTTCTTTCTACCACAGTGCAGGTGAGTTGGCCACAGAGAGAGGGAGGAGGAAGCCAATGAAACAGCTTACTTAGTTGGGGTGGGAGCAATGCACATTTCTCACTACACTTTCCATGCATAGAGTGCCAATGAGGCTGTCCTGAAATCAGAGGGCTTGTCCTTTGTGTCCCCATGTGGCTTTTCCTGCCTTAAAAAACTGACACAGTCTAATTGTGTTTCCCCAAAGATGAGCTCCTAGAGCCTTCAGTGCTTCTTTACATGCACCTGTGAAAAACTTCCTTTGTAACTTTTTCTTTTCTCCGAAGAGAGTTCAATACCTGAGGAGGAAAGCATGAGGGAGGGGGTGCACCAGTAGAAAAACCTGGGTCACTGTCCAGCACAGGGATTCCTGGGAGAACTGTGTACAACAAGCAACTTGCTGAAGTTGACAGCGCAGACTCCAGGGGCTGAATCCACTCCCAGGTCCTGGCTAGCAAGGGCTAAGGTGGGCAAAGATGCAGGAAACCAGCCTGTTCTGGGGACCAGAGGGTGGCTGGCAAGTATGAGAGGAAAGGAACTAATTCTCTCCCTCTGTTTACTAGAAAACTAGAGGTCATTGAGAAAGTCATGTGAAGAGTCAAAAAGTCACACATCTCAGGAATTTGGGGAGTTCTGACCTGCAGAACTGTAAGTCTCCGTGCCTGGGTATTTGGTCATACTGTAACAAAAATCCAAAAACTAACATTAAAGAGAACATTGGCATGTTCAACTGTAATTTTAAAAAATTATCTTTATTGTTGAAAGTATTACAGATGTCCTTAGCTATAATTTCGAAAAGTTAAAACAATAATTTTAAGTGCCTCATTAACAAAGCATTTTATTCTGATCAGAAATCTTAAATATTTGAAGTTGTTTCTTTGGAGCAAGGTGATTCCGTTTTTATTTTTTATTTTTGTTTTTCCTGCCAAATATTAGGAACTGCTTTGGCTCCATCTAGTGGCACCCATGCATAAATGCTGCTGTCCCTCCACCCATTTCTATTATCTGTTGTCAAAAAAGCTAATAGCAAAAGGCCAATGTATAATAACTACGTAATAGGCGATTCTATAATGCATCACAGTGATGATCTCCCCTTAAGTACTCCTAATAATTTAATATATCCTGTTAAAAAAAACTGAAAAATTATACAAACAACATATGCTCATTAAATAAAAATAATATATATTTGCAGAAAAAAAAAACCAGCTGGTGATAATGTTAATTTTTATTTTTTTGGAATAGGATGAGTTTATTGTGAAAGGCTTTTAATTCTGACTTATATAGTATTGTTGCAAATATACAAATTTCAAAATAAAGCTACATTAATTTTTAAATATATTTGTACATTCTTTCAAATTTTTACAAAAATTGGATGGAACTCAACTACACATATTGCTTTGCATTTTCTTTTCATTATTTAATTAGCTATAATAATAAAAGTGTAATATGCTAATTAGACCAGACAGCATAAAGACCTTCCAGATGAAGCTGTGGCGGTGGAGGCCCAGGCAGAGGCAATTAGGGCAGGCAAGCAGTTAGGGGTAATTAAGTAAGCAGTTAGGGCCAATTAGGGCAGGCAGGCAGAGTGGTTAGGGGTGGTCAGGGAGTCAGCAGGGCGAGGCAAACAGTGTGAGCCAAGTTGAGGGAGTCTCAGACATGGTGCCCATTTGCCAGATCTGTAGTGAAGGGAGCAGAAAAGGGATAAGGGCCTCTGGCAGCACTTTTGTCTGGGAGAAAGGTGCCCTGATGCCAAATAGTTCCTCCCTGTACATCTCTGGTGCCTTTTAAGCTGCTGTCCCCATGCTGGAGCCCAGAGGGAGTGAGTCCAAGTAAGTCCATATCTGGGGCCCTTTAAAAGGAACCATCAACCCTAACTGGTTTGGCTCAGTGGCTAGAGCGTCGGCCTGCAGACTGAAAGGTCCCCGGTTTGATTCTGGTCAAGGGCATTACCTTGGTTGTGGGCACATCCCCAGTAGGGGGTGTGGAGGAGGCAACTGATTGATGTTTCTCTCCCATCAATGTTTTTAACTCTCTATCTCTCTCCTGTAAAAAAATCAATAAAATATGTTAAAAAATAAAAAAAAGAGGAACTACCTGGACTCCAGCAGCCTCTGTCTTCCTCAGCCTCAATCCCTGCTGGTTTTTCCTGCCAAAGGTTATGGGGACTTTTCCTCCTGGCACTGGAACCCTGGGATGGGGTTCCTCCTTGCTCCTCATGGGTGACCTATACCTTTTCCTTCACTAGGAGACAAGAACCTGTGCTTCTTTAATCCTTCTGTCTTAAGCTCTTCCCTGCTTTGTGTCCAGGGTGGGGGGTGCAGGTGGGATTGTGGGGAGAGGCTGAGTGCCAGTGCAGAGCACAGCGGGAAAGGGAAAGGAGCTCTGGGACATGGCATATATGTGATTAAATTAAGGGTCTGAAAGAAGGAGTTTATCCTGGATTATCTGGGCTGAGCCAAGAATGCAGGTGGCTTCTAGAAGGTGAAAAAAGGCAAAGAGCCTCTACCAGGAGGCAGCCCTGCCAATACTTTCATCAACACAGCAATCTGGCCTCTAGAACTGTAGTGGTGTTTTAAGCCCTTGAATTCGTTACAGCAGCAATGGAAAAATAATACAAGAAATTAAAAAAAATACCACTATGTAATAAAACAATAATGACCAGACACTCTCTTCTCCCAAGATCATTTCCCTAATGACAACTTTCATCTGGTTCTGTTCTTTCTGCCTCCCACATGAAAAATATAAAATACCCATTTACTGGATTGCTCTGCTCCCTGAGACCACCCAATCCAGAAGACAGCCGGCTCTCCTGCATCCTCCCAGCACAGGCCCATCCTGAAATAAGCTCTTTCCCATCCCTGTCCTTGGTATGTGAGTCTGTGCCAAAAATCAGGCCCAAACTGCACCCTTTCATATATGCTCCATGATAAGAACGGATTTCTCTCATCTTTTTTAAAGTGAGCACAGCATGAAGCTTTCTCAGTAGAGGGCACTGGAGGGACACTGCAGGAAGAAGGGGCTTCTGGAAATTTCCAGTGCTGCCAAGAGTATGAGGACATACTGTGGAGCCTGCCTTTGCCACAGGCACACAGCGTGATCCCTCTGTGACCCTACAGCCTGGTGACAAGACTCTCAACTGGCAACTGGAGACCCTGTGCAGCTGTGATGTGGCCTTGTGCTCTGAAGGCCTCTTATGTCCCATTGCACACACACAAATACACACACACACACACACACACACACACACACACACACGGCTGCTGAGCTCCTGCTTCCCCACCTGCACTCTGGAGGGTGGCCTTTTGCTGGCCCTGAAGGCCTCTTATGTCCCATTGCACACACACAAATACACACACACACACACACACACACACGGCTGCTGAGCTCCTGCTTCCCCACCTGCACTCTGGAGGGTGGCCTTTTGCTGGCCCAACAACTCCTGACCGGCTCCAGCCTGGCCACTTCGGAACCTCTCTGCTCTCCGGGGGGCTGAATAAGCACAGCCCTTCTTTGGTCCTCACGTGGGTGCTCTCTCTCAGTCTAAGGTAGGGGTGTCGAACTCAATCAGAGAAGGGGCCAAAATCTAAAATCCAGCCTAAATCGCGGGCCGAATGGTTTACTGAACAGTCATAAACTGTCATTGTGATGGAAACGCAGCGGAGTGCAGTGATGACAGCGAGGTGCGGGCCACATTGCAAGGCCTGGCGGGACGGATTTGGCCCGCGGGCCTTGTGTTTGACAGGACACATGTGGTCTAAGGGATACCCTCAGCGGTCGCCAACCGGTGGTCCGCAGATCACTGGTGGTTCGTGAGGTCCAAAAGGTTGGCGACCTCTGCCCTAGAAGACTCCACAGGGGTTTCCTTAGGTTTTAGAATTTCCCTTTA